GACACCGCCCCGGGCGCCATCTTGAGTAAGGGCGCAGCGTTACCCGCCCCAATGGCAGCGCCGCGCGCTCCCATTGGCCTGCCGGCGCTCGGCCAATGGGCGGCGGCGGTGCTGGGGGGTGACGCCGGCGCGTGCGGAGCGGAGCGGAGCGGCCGCGACCATGGTGAGGGGCCGGGGGGAGGTCGGGGGAAGTTCGGGGTCCCGTGTCTCCCCCCGTGTCCGTGTCACCCACAGGGTCCCCCAGTGCTCCCATCCCTCTCGTCTCCCCATGTCCCACCCTGCTGTCCTGTGTCCCCTCAAACGGCCTCCCCGCACATCCCCGTGTCCCCCTCTCAGTGCCCCCCATCCCTCTCATCTCTTCATGTCCCCCCGCCAGTGTCCCGTGTCCCCCAAAACGGGCCCCCCCTACATGCCCGTGTCCTCTCCCTCCAGTGTCCCCCCCGACCTCACATCCCCTTCCCAATGTCCCCCGCCAGTGTCCCCCCACACATCCCCATGTCCCCCTCCCCAGAGTCCCGATATCCCCCCATTGCCCCCCCGGAGTCACCACTGACCCCCCGGTGTCCCGGTGTCACCACTGACCCCCCCGGTGTGACGGTGCCCCCCGTTCCAGCTGCGCCGCCAGGCCCGGGAGCGCCGGGAGTACCTTCAGCGCCGGGCGCGGGAGCAGCAACTGCAGCGGCAGCGGGAGAGGAGGGAGAGCCTGCGGAGGGCACTGGACGGTACCGGGAACCGGGAATGGTCCGCAGGGGGGGTAAAGGGGAGCTGAGGGGCTGGGAGGGGGCGGGGGGGGTTACAGAGGTTTTGAGAGGAGTTATGTGGGGGGTTGGAGGGGATAAAGGGGGGGAGTTAAGAGGGCTTGGGGGGTGTAAAGAAGGGTCAGGAAGCAGCAAAGGGGATTTGGGAAGGGTTAAGGGGGAGTTTGGAGGGGATAAAGAGGAGGTTAAAGGGAGTTTGGGGGGGACCAGAGTGGGGCTAACAGGGGTTTGGGGGGATAAAGGGGGGGATTGGGACATTTGAGAGGGCTAAAGATGGGTCAAAGGGGAAGACTGGGGTGCTATAGGGCCAGGGTGGGTTATTTGGGCCTGAGGGGGTATTTGAGGCCAGGAGCATTGGGGGTCCTGTGTGAGCCCCCAGTCTCCCCTCCGTCCCCCAGAGAACCAGCTGCTGCCCACGGAGCTGCGGCGCGAGGCCCTGGCCCTGCAGAAGGAGCTCGAGTTTGACTTCGACACCCCTGGGGGTGAGTGGGACCCCCAAACAGGGGGGTGAGCAGGACCCTGGAATGGGGAGTGACTTCAACCTCAAAATGGAAGGGGCTGCCTCAAAGGAAGGGTGGACTTTGCCCTAGACCAGCCCCGAATTCAGGATCAAATTTGCCCTGTTTTCTCTCAAAGTATGTGTCGCTTTTTTTTAATGTCTCCACCAAACAAGATTAAACTCACCCCAATACAAGGAGAGGATTTGGCCAAGTTGTCCCAAAATGGGATCAAATCTGCCCCATTTCCCCACATTGGGCCAAGAACTCCCCACAGGGACCCCAAAATGGGAGTGGATTTGTCCAAATCGCCCCAAAATAGGATCAAATCCGCCCCACCCAAATCCCCCCAGAACTGAGTCAGCAAATCAACCCAAACAACCCCAAAGGGGCTCAGCTGCCCCCGTGTGGGCGTGGCTGTGGCAGGAGGGGCCACGGTCCTTAAAACCCCCCCCAGGTGCCACCAGCAGCCAGGATGACGAGTATCGGTGGGCGGGGGTGGAGCCCCCCAAGGTGATGGTGACGACATCGCGGGACCCCAGTGCCCGCCTGCGGCTCTTCGCCAAGGTGGGCGGGGCTGGGGTGGGCATGGTTGGGGTGGGTGTGGTCAAGATAGGTGTGCTCAGGATGGGTGTGGTCAGGGTGTGGTGGGTGTCCTCTATTAGGGGTGTAACCTCAGGCAGGGGTGGGGCTTGTTGCTTTACAAAGTGGGTGTGGGTTGGGGCAGTGGGAGGGGCTTGGTTGGCCCCACCCCTTTGGGGGTGGTGCTTCATTTGAGCCAATGTTTGTGCGTGGGAGGTGGAGCCTGTTTAGGTGGGTGTGGCCATTTGTGGGTGGGGTCTGTATGTGGGTGTGGCTCCCTGTCCACAAGTTGGCCTGGAGGTGGGTGTGTCCTTGTCGAAGGGATGGGGCCCAGAGGTGGGTGTGTTCCAATGGGTGTGGCCTGCCGATGGGCACGACCCTGCTGACCCCGCCCTGCCCCGCCCCAGGAGCTGTGCCTGCTGTTCCCGGGCGCGCGGCGCATGAACCGCGGCCGCGCCGAGCTGGGGGCCCTGGTGGGGGCCTGTCGGGCCGCGGGGGTCACCGACCTGCTGGTGCTGCACGAGACCCGCGGGCGGCCTGGTCAGTGTGGGGAGGGGCCACAGAGGGAACTCACACCCAAAGAGGGGCGGGGCTAATGGGGACATGCTAATGATCATGGGCGGGGTTGTGGAGAACAGGGTATGGCCATGAGGGTGGGCGGGGCCCTGGGAGTCTCCAGTTGGAGAGGGCTTATGGGAGTGGGCGGGGTTAAGGCCCAAGGGGTGGGGCTTTGGCAAAGGTTTCCTGAGGGCGGGGCCATAGGAAGGGGCAGGGCTCCACCTGCCAGGCCCGTTTTTGCTGAGTGGGCGGGGCCAAGGGGGGCAGGGTTCTTGGCATCAGTGGGGTGTGGACCATTGGGAGGCGTGTCCTGACAAGGCCCCACCCCCAGACGGGCTGACCGTGTCCCACCTGCCCCACGGCCCCACCGCCCACTTCACCCTGAGCGGGGCCGTCCTGCGCCAGGAGGTCGGGGGGCTCGGGGGGGCCCCCCTGGCCGCCCCCCACCTGCTGCTGCTGCGCCTCGACTCCACCCTCGGCAAAAGGGTACGGCCGGGGGGGCACAGGGGGGGTGGGGGGGCAAAGGGACATGGGGGAGACAAAAGTGACATGAGGGGACAAAAAGGGGGTGTGGGGGGGCAATGAGGACAGTGGGGACATGACGGGGACAAAGAAGACATGGGGGGACAAGGGAGGCCGCAGACTTGGGGGGATGTAGGGATGTGAAAGGACGTGGAGGAGCCTCTGGGGGCATGTTGGGATATGGGGTGATGTGGGGACATGGGGGGACACAGAGACTGGGGGGGATGTGGGGATGTGACAAGATGTGGGGGGGTTTCTGGAGAGACGTGGGGGATTTTGGAGGAAACACGAGGGCCACTGGAGGGACACGAGGCAGACATCGGGTGGAGTGGGGGGACATGGGGGAGGACATGGGGACATGGGGCCATTCATGGGGCACCCAGGGGTGTAGTGACCCCATCCTTGTCCCCCCAGGTGGGGACCATCCTGAAGCACCTGTTCCCCGTGCCCCGCCCCGACAGCCGCCGTGTGGTGACCTTTGCCAACGAGGATGACGTCATCCTCGTGCGGTGGGTACACAGGGGGGTGACGGGGGGTGGGTCACACTGGGACTGGGACTGGGCCTCCCCTTGACCCCCCTGTCCCTGCAGGAACCACGTGTACCGGCGCCGGGGCCGGACGGTGGAGCTGGAGGAGGTGGGACCGCGGTTCCAGCTGCGCCGTGAGTGTCCCCCGTCCCCATTCACTGCCCCCCTGTCCCCAACCAGTGCCCCCCTTGTCCCCAACAGCCCCACGAGGGTCTCCCCACGTCCCCTGCTGTCCCCAACACCCCTGTGTGTCCCCCAGCCTACCTGATCCGCCTGGGCACGCTGGAGCAGGGGGATGCAGCTGACGTGGAGTGGCGCTGGCACCCCTACACGGCCACGGCCCCCAAGCGCCGCCTGCTCAGCGCCACCTGAGCCTCCCAGACCTGCCCTGGGCCCTCCCAGACAGCCGGGACCCTCCTGGAAACCTGGCACCACCCAGGCAGCTGGGACCCTGTTGGTTGCCTGGGACCCCCCCAGGCTCCAGGGCCCCCCTGGGTCCCTCCAGAACCCCCCCAGGTGTTTCACACACCTGGGAGTCACAGAATCATTTTATTTGTCACAATAAACCTTTTTTGGCTATTTTGAGCTCTGTGGTGATTGGCCAGGCTCTGCTGCAGCCCCTCCCTGGCAGGAGGGCCCCAGGGGTCCGTCCCCCCTTCACACCCGGGACCACTCGGCCGGGGGGTCCCGTGGGCCCTTGGGCTTCCCAATGCGGAAGTTAAACCCTGGGGATTGGGGGAGACAGGGGGACATTGAGGGGGGGCCAGATGCCCCATGTCCCCCCTGAATCCCCTCCTGAACCACCCCCAGACACCAGGGCCCTCCTGAACCCCTCACTCCCCACCCTGGACACCAGGAACTCTCTGACACCCCCCCCAGAGCTGCCCAGACACCACAGACCCCCCTGGACCCCCCGTGCTCACCGAGGCAGGGGCCGCTCCCGGGGTCCCCGGGGGGGGTCACAACCTCGTAGGCGCCGTCAGCGGGTCGGGGGGAGCCTGGGGGGCCGCAGGGGGGTTGTGAGAGCCCATCAGCCCCCCGAGGTGCCCCAGATCCCCCCGAAGCCCCCCACTCACCTGCCGGGGTGGGGGAGGGGCGGTGCACGGGGCTCCCTGGGAGGGAGCACGTGCCCGAGGGGGCGGGGTCTCGTCCCACGGCCCCGCCCCCCCGGCGCGCCTTGTTGACCACGGCGTAGGTGACATCCATGGGGGGGGGCGCGGGGGGCTCAACCGGCACCGAGACACTCCTGGGAGAGGGAGGGGAGGGTGGGGAAGGGAAGGGACCCCCTTGTCTGGGGCTCCCCCAACCCCCAGCGAGGACTCACCTGAGCAGGGGCGGCCGCAGGGCCCGGCGGGCGACAGCGTCCTGGTACAGGGGGGGCTGGGGAGCAGGGGGTCACCTGAGCCTCCCAATGACGGGTCTTCCCGAGCTCCCGGGTCACCCCCAAACTCCCTTGGCCCCTCGGCAGCCCCGGCCCCTGCTCTCACTTCCCCTTTCCGGGGGCAGGAAGTGCCGCTCAGCCCTCGTGCCCCCACCCCGCCCCGGATGCCTGAGGCTCCCCCTGAGCCCCCGGGGCCCCCCTCTCAACTCCTGCACCGCCCCCAACCCCTGGGTCCCCATCCGCCCCCCCGGCTCCCCCTCTAACCTGAACCCCCCGGGCCAGGCTGAGATGGGCAGGGGGCGGTGGAGGTGCCATTGGGGTCCTGGGGGGTCCCAGGTGTGCAGGGGACGGAAGGGACCAGGGGGTTTTCAGTCCCCCAGGCCCCGCCCCCGGGTTAAACCCCACCCCTGGGCTGGACGCGAGCTGGGGGGTGCTAAAGCTCCTCCGGAGGGTTCCCTATGGCACCTTTAGGGGTCCCTATATACCCTGCACCATCTGGGGGGGCTCTTTAGGGGCTCTGTGGGGCTTCTTGGGGTCCCTCTGGTGCCTGTAGCAAATGGGGGGGGCTCTATAGACCCTATAGAGCCTCTGTGAGGGCTCCCTGGAGCCCCTCTAGGAATTTTGTGAGTCCTTATGGACTCTACAGCTGCTGTGGCTGTGTGAGGTCCCCTAAAGCACCTCTGGGGAGCCTATAGAAGCTCTGGGGGCCCCTACAGCAGCTCTGAGGTCCCTGTGGTTCCTACAGGTCAGCTGGGAGGCCCTATGGGACCTTGGGGTGGGGTCTGTACAGCCCCTGCAGAGCCCCTTGGGGTGTCCCAGAGAGCCGGGGAGCCTCTAAGGGGTCTCCTATGGCCCCCCCAGACCCCTGAGTGGTGTCCCTATGGCCCCTTTAGGGCCCGTGGGTTCCTCCCCCCACCCCCGATCACGCGGCTCTGAGTGCCGCGGGCCCGCCCCCTCGAGACGTCACCGGGAAACCCGCCAAAAGGGCCGCCCCGCCTCAGGCCGCGCCCCACCATCGCTGATTGGTCGGCGCGCGGCGGCCGCGCCCCCTGCCTCCGCACCGCGCGCTGATTGGCGGGCGCGGGCGACGCGGTGGCGTCACGGGGCGCGCGCGGCGCGGCGGCCCCGGAAGCGGCGGCGGCGGCGGCGGGAGCGGGGCAGCGACGGGAGGGTGAGCGCGCGGGGGGGGCGGGGCCAGGGGCGGGGCCTGGGGCCAGGGCAAGGGGTCCAGGGGTGGGGGGCGAAACGCGCCGGAGGGCGGGGCTGTGGTGAGGGGCGGGGCTTGGCGGTGGGCGTGGTTTTTAAGCCTCTGTTGGTGGGGCTGTGACAAGGCTGGGGCTCCCTGGGGGCGTGGCCGAGGGGAAGGGGCGCGGCTACGGGACCACTCGGGGGGCGTGTCTTAGAACGGCGATGGGCGTGGTCTCGCAGTCGAGGGCGGGGCCAATGAACCACGTGTGCACACCACGTGTTCCGGGGTGGGGCTCTGTGGGGGGTGTGGCTTAGTGCTTAAGGAGGCGTGGCCTGATGTCCGGGGGCGTGGCCTGGTGGGAAGACCCCCGATGGCTGGGGCTCTCCAGGTGGGGGGTGGGCGTGGTCAGGGGCGTGGTTAATGTATGTTGGTGTGGCTTGACGAGCCCCACCCCTTCCTCACCCTCCTCCTGCAGGTGCGTCAACGGCAGCAGCGCCCGGGACCCCCAAGCCCCCGTCCCCTGAGCCCCGCCCCAGTGAGGCCCCTGCGGAGGGGTGGGGCCACCCAGGTTTTTGGGCACCGCCCCAGCGCCCCCTGCCCATCACAGGTGTGGTGGGGACCAACCTGGTGGGGACAGCGGCCACGGCATCCTTGGGTCGTCACCACGGCGGGCAGAAGGAGGAGGACAAGGTATCAGTGGCAGTGACAGCCACGATGTCCCTGGGAGGCCACCCTGGTGAGGAGGAGGAGGTGGCAGCGGCCATGATGTCCCCGGGTGGCCAGCACGGTGGGGACAAGGACGAGGCAGTGGCACTGACGGCGGTGGCAGCCACAGCGTCCCCAGGGGGTCACCCTGGTGAGGAGGAGGAGGTGACCATTGCAGTGACGTCTCCACGGTGTCACCCCAGTGAGGAGCAGGAGGAGGAAGAGGTGGCGGCGACGGCGGCAGTGACATCCCTGAGGTGTCACCCCAGTGAGGAGCAGGAAGAGATGACAGCAGCGGTGACATCCTCGAAGTGTCCCCCTGTTGGAGTTGAAGAGGAGGTGACAGCGGAGGTGACATCGTTGAGGCATCACCCCAGTGAGGAGGAGGAGATGGGAGCGGTGACATCCCCGAGGTGTCCCCCCACTCAGGACAAGGAGGAGGAGGAGGTGACAGCAGCAGTGACATCCCCGGGGTGTTCCCCTGTTGGGGATGAGGAGGAGGAGGAGGAGGAAACACAGGCCATGACGTCCCCAGGGTGTGTCCCTGTTGGGGACGAGGAGGAGGAGGTGACAGCAGCAGTGACAGCGGCAGCAGCCACATCAGCCCTGGGCGGGCGGCGCGGGGCGGACGAGGACGTGGCGGCCGCGGGCTGGCGGGCGCGGCGCAAACACGTGTTCGTGCTCAGCGAGGCGGGGAAGCCCATCTACTCCCGGCACGGCAACGAGGAGGCGCTGGCAGCCACCATGGGCGTCATGATGGCCCTGGTGTCCTTCATCCAGAGCGGCGGGAACGCCATTCGCGCCATCTGCTCTGGTACGGCACGGGGGACACAGGGAGGGCAGGACACGGGACCCCCAAACTCACACAGACCCACCCAGGGTACCCCTGAAACAACCCCACACAGGTACAGCCACCCCCCCCCAAAACAACTCCCTGAGTACATGCCCGCCAAACACAACAGCCCACCCAAAACAACCCCTCTCCTGGGTCCAGCTGAATCCACCAGAACAGCCCCCCCAGGTACAACCAGCCCCCCAAAACACACGATTCCCCCAGCCCTCCTCCTTGGTACAGCCACCCCCTAAAAACAACCACCCCCCCCAAAACAACACCTGTCTGGGCACACCTGGCTCCCCCCAAAACAACCATCACGCAAACCTCCCTGGGGTGTCCCCAACTGCATGTCACGCTCTGGGTGCCCCTGCCCCCTGACGACCCCCTCCCCTCTCTCCCCCAGAGGACCGTACGCTGGTGTTCGAGCAGCGGGGTCCACTGCTGCTGGTATCGGTGTCTCGCACGCGGCAGTCGGCGGCGCAGCTGCGGCGGGAGCTGGCGTTCGTGCACGAGCAGATCCTGTCGCTGCTGACGCGCGGGGGCATCGCCCGGGTCTTCGCGCGGCGCCGCGGCTTTGACCTGCGCCGGCTGCTGGCAGGCGCCGAGGCCGTGCTGGACCGGCTGCTCGGCGGGGCCGCGGCGGACGGGCGGCTGCTCCTGGGGGCTGCGCGCTGCCTGCCCCTGCCCGGGGGGCTGCGCCGGGCCGTGTCCGGGGCCCTGCGCCGCGCCGCTGCCGCCGCCCGCCCCGCGCCCGCCCTGGCCGTGCTGGCGGCCCACGGGCGCCTGGTGACGGCGGCGCGGCAGCGGGCGCTGGCCGAGGGCGGGCGGCTCTGTGCCAGCGACCTGCACCTGCTCCTCAACCTGCTGGGCGGCGGGGCGGGTGCGGGCGAGGTGTGGACCCCCGTATGCCTGCCCCGCTTCAACCCCGACGGCTACTTCTACGCGTACGCGGCGCGGCTGGGCGAGGAGGAGGAGGAGGGCGTGACGCTGATCCTGCTGTCCACGGAGCGCGAGGGCTTCTACGCGGCGGCCGCGTGCCGGCGGCAGCTGGAGGACACGCTGCAGGCGCAGGGCTGGCTGGCGGAGCTCGGCGCGGCCGTGCAGGGGGGCGCGGGGTACGGCCCCTCCCGTGCCGGCGCCCCCGAGCTCCGGCACTTCCTCTACAAGCCCTTGGAGGGGCCCGAGGAGATGCAGCAACTGCCGCAGTTCACCAGGTGTGCGGGGGGGGAAACACCCCAGAACTGGGGGGCCGGGGGTGTCCCTGGTGTTCACCTGACGCCCACGTCCCCCCCCTCTCGCCGGCTGCAGCCCCGAGCTGGAGGAGCCCTACACCAGCGAGGAGGAGCAGCACCGGCTCTTCGACCTGTACCACTACCTGCACAGCCGCGTGCACAGCCCCCAGCGGCCCCTGCGCCTGCTCTACCACGTGGCCGAGAAGGAAACGCTCCTGGCCTGGGTGAGCTGCAGGGGAGGAGCTGTCAGCAGGTTCCAGAGTTAAGAGGGGTGCTCACAGTCAGCAGGTTCCAGAGTTAACAGACAGCATTCACTCACAGTTCTCTCAGCAGGTTCCAGGGTTACTGAAGTTGTGGGTGTGTGGCACGGTCAGCAGATCCCACAGTTAACAGGGAGTGCACAGTTGTGCTGCCACGAGTGGGTCCCAGAGTTAATGGGGGTTGCTCTCTGTGAGCACTCTTGATGGTTTCCAGAGTTAATGGGTGCTCACTGTCGGTGCTGTCCGTAGGTCCCAGAGTTAGCAGATGCTCGGTGGCACTGCTATCAGTAGGTCCCAGAGTTAACAGGCGCGGGTTCCCGCAGGTGACCAGCAAATTCGAGCTGTACAGCTGCTTCAGCCCACTGGTGACGAAGGCAGGAGCCATCGCGGTGCTGACCAAGCTGCTGCGCTGGCTCAAGAAGGAGGAGGACTGGCTGTTCATCCGCTACCCGGCACCGTTCTGTGCCGCGCCCGCACGCCCCGAGGGGGCCGAGCCCGAGGGCTGACAATAAACACTGAGACCACAGGGAAGAGTCCTGAGTCGGGGGGACAGGGGGGACACGTCCTGAGGGGTGAGGGGAGGGGGGAGAGGGAACGCGAACAGGGGTGAGAGGGGACAGAGAAGGGGGAAAAGGGAACAGAAAATGGGGGGGACATCAGACAGAAAATGGTGGGAACACCTGACAGAAAAGGTAGGTAAGAACTTAGAGATTAGAGGGAAAATGGGACAGAAAAGAGAGGGAAGGGGGGACAGAAAATGGTGGGAAAATGTGTGAGAAAATGGCAGGAAAGGCTAAAAGAAGTGACAAGCAATGGAGGGCAATAAGGGACCAAAGAGACAGGAAAGGGGACAAGAAATGGAGGGAAAATGAGACAGAAAAGAGGGAAGAGAAAAAGCTGGAAAAAGTGACTGGGAGTGAAAAAGGGAAAGAAAATGGTGACAGGAAGGGACAGGGCTGGGAAAAGGCACAGAAAGGCGTGGGAAAATGGACAGAAAATGATGGGAAAACATTAGGGGAAAAATGTGGGGGACAGGGTGGGAAAATGTGACAAAAAAGGCGGGAAAATGTGACAAAAAAGGCAGGAAAACATGACAAAAAAGGGTGGGAAATCATGAGAAAACATGAGGAAAAAGGCAGGAAAACGTGAGGGGAAAAAGGCAGGAAAACGTGAGGGGAAAAAGGCGGGAAAACGTGAGGGGAAAAAGGCGGGAAAACGTGAGGGGAAAAAGGCGGGAAAACGTGAGGGAAAGGGAGGTGAGGAGCTGAAAAAGCTGCAGAAGGTGAGAGGAAATGGGGAACGAAAAGGGACAAAGTGGAGGGACAGGAGAGAGAAAAGGGGTGAAAAAGGACCAGAAAGAGGGGAGAGGTGACAGAAAATGGGGGCAAGAGGGGACAGAACCTGAGAGAGAAAGGGGGGACAGAGACAGAAGGAGCAGAGGAGGCAGAAACTGGAGGAAGGAGGTGACAGAAATGGGGAGAACCGGGAGAAAAGAGGGAAAAGGGAGAGCAGAGGGAGGGAGGAGGGTCAGAAACAGTGAAATGTGACAGAAAACGGGGCTGAGGGTGGGCAAGGGGGGACGAAGAGGGGGACAGAAGGGGACAGCCCAGCGCCCGCT